AGGCGCTTGACGTAGCCTACAGAGAGGCGACAGAGAATACTGGTTTAGACGGCAGGGACGCACAAGGGTTGAGGACTGAGTGACTTCGATAGAGGGTTTACTCAGGGATCACGAAAGGGGAGGGGAGGGACGGGAAGGAGTGGAGGGGCGAGGGAAGAGAATCGGCAGCAGAGAAGAGGCGAGGCTTGAAGAGAAGAAACAGAATGAGGTGAAGGAGAGCACCGCTCAATGCACGGGGGAAGTTCATTCCAGGGGTGGGGTGCAAGGAGGAATAACGGAATTGGGCACTGGGAGAAGGGCAGACAGAGAGAATATTTCGATTTAAAGCTTTCGTGACTGCAGGGATTCATCTTCTTGGTTATTTCGGTAAAGTCACGTAGAAGGGAAGTAATACAATAATAAAAATAAAACATAATAAAATTATATAATAAAATGTTTTATTTTTATTCTTTTACTACTTCCCTTCTACGTGACTTTACCGAAAGAACCAAGAAGAGAGAATAGTGTGAACGATGACGAGAGAGGACGTAGGAGGAGACGCGAGAAGCAAGATGAGGTGGGGCAATGTGTGCAGTAGAGACGCACCGGGGCTCCAGTCTCTCTCGCATTTAAATATTTGACCAATTCCTGAGATTAAATCGTGGGGTTTTTTTTTGTCCGTGAGCAGACGCGATTGCCGTTAGAAACCCACCGCTCGCTCACACGAGAGGATAACCCCGTTGGGTTTATAAAAAAAAAACCACAATGAAATGTGTCTCGTGTATTTGTCCCGGGAAGGGAGAGTTCGGCCGCGAGACGCGCGCCCCGGAGGTCACGTGGCGTTGTCACGTGACCCACCCCCTGCCTCCCCACCGCGTGCGGCAGTCGACGCTGAGATCACCATTCGAGAATCCGTTAAAATCTCGGGATTTTATCGTCTCGTTTACATCCAAATGTATTTTTTTTGACTCGCACATTATTTCGATTTAAAGCTTTCGTGACTGCAGGGATTCATCTTCTTGGTTCTTTCGGTAAAGTCACGTAGAAGGGAAATAATAAAATAATAAAAATAAAACATAATAAAATACAATTCTCACGACGTTGTGGCCGAAACGTTGTGAGAATTGTATTTTATTATGTTTTCTTTTTATTCTTTTATTATTTCCCTTCTACGTGACTTTACCGAAAGAACCAAGAAGATGATCACACATTATTGTTAAAAACCAATAAGCACAAACGCAACATTAGCATGACATTTGAATCTGATTTCAACACACGTGCTGTTCTTGATGACGTGCATGTGTCACGAGCGTAAGAATGGATGTCAGTGGATGTGGCTTGGCGCCGTCTCCTCTGCGCCTTCTTCGTTCCGTGCCGGGCTGGCGGCGGTAGGAGGGGGGGGGGCTGCTGGGGTTGGGCCCTGTGCCATCAAATGCCCCTTTGCCCTCCCCCACCCAATTTAATTCTCTTTGGCGGTGCACATCGCTCTTAAAGTGCCCCCCCTCCCATCCCAACCTCGACTGCCCCCCCACCCCCCCTTATCCTGAAGGAGCTAGAGGCGGGCTGATGCCCTCGGCGCAGATTCACGGCACCACCACCACCGCCTCCTCCATCGCTCGAGTTTGGTGTGCGCCGTCGAGGCTTGAGAGGTCGCGGTGAAGGCGGATCTCATCCACGACTTGGCGCGGAGCTCGTTAAAGATGTTCTTAATGTGCGACTCGCCACCTTCCTCTCCACACTTGTGATCGTTTCTCCTGGAATTACAAAAACAAACTCGGACGTCGCGTTGGGCTTTGTTTGGTGACATTGTCTCCCTCCCCCCCTATCTCTTCCCCCACCACGCTTTGTAACACCACTTGTCCGGCTGTCCCCTGATTGTTTCCCGTTCTCTTAATAACCACGAGCGTGTAGTAGCAGTAGTCGTGACTCACGTGTCGAAGTGTTTGTGTGTTCTACATGAAGTCTCGCCCCTTGCCCTGTTATTCCTTCTGTGTGCCCTTGGCACTTGAACAACTTATTTTTTCAATGTTAAAAAGAAAGTGTGCCACTCGGCCGTGGTGTCTGCGCTTTTACAAACCTCGCAGCCTCGCCACCACTTTGTCGCCTCTGAAAACGTCACCATCACCAGCGGCGAATACAGAAACAAACACTTCCCAAGGATGAAGGGCGGCAGACTTGAAATGCCAAACTTTTTTTTAAAGATACAGTTCTTAAAACGACGATCAATGCATTTTCTAAGGGTTATAATTTTTCTGGTAAATACCAATGAAAACGACTGTCGTGGTTTCATGGGGAAGGGATGGCTCCCCACGTTGTGGACGTTCTTTCTCGGGCGCGTTCCGTCCTTTGCCTGCCACTCCAGCGTGAGTCTCGACCACTCGCTGTCGCCACGCGTCCTTCCCGAGCCCCCTTACTTTTCTTATACTTCACCATAACAATAACTCTTAGTATTTAAAAAAAATAGGTTTTACGCTTTCTGGCAACAATACAGATGTTAAGATGTTCAAAAACCAAATAGAAACGTTTTAGAAGGAAGCAAGTCTGCACTAACCACACGTACTTGTGGTGAACATGCAAACACACATGCTGTGATCATCATGCACTATCAGACCATGTATAGCTCGGGGTGAGCAGCTACATTTTTTCATACTTTGATACTGGCAAAAAAAGGGTCCCAGATCTCTTAATATTCACGACCAAATTAAAATACCAGGCCATGCTTGTCGAGTAGCTCTTAACTTTTGATCGTCGTTTGACCGGAGGCGGTTTTTGCTACGATCCAACCATCGTCAACTTCAGGGGGTGTGCGGAAATCCGTCAGGTGGGGCCCCAATGTTTGATTCGTCACGCACCGGTCGCAACCGAGGTTATGAGATATCGCGGGCACTCTTGTCCTGACATCGTTACGCTCACGGTAATTTTCATTTAACATCTAATTGAAAACGCGTTTTATGTAAAATAAACAAATTATCAAACACTGTCGTTGAACCAGAGGTCGCAACCGGGTACCCGATACCCGTACCCTACCCGATACCCGGCTACCCGTACCCGGCCGTGTATCGGGTAGGGTACGGGTACCCGGTTGCGACCCTGGTGCGGCCGGGTACGGGTAAGGAAACAAAACCCGTTTGCGACCTCTGCGTTGAACACATATATCTCATGGTGGCCGTCCAAAGGAGTGTCCAACTCATACCTCTGTCCACCAGGTAGGGTGGGTGGGGGGTGGTGGCAGGCCACCCACTGCTCGCACGCGAGTCACGCTACTGCCAACCAGCGATCTGTGAAGACTGAACAACCCCCGCGCGTGGGCTTGCTGGCAGCTGCTGGGTCCGCGTTCTTGCAAATGCCACGATGGATATTCAGTGCCGATAAGCGGCACTGGCTGCTGTACGGGTTTGCAAATACATAGCGGGCTTCCGAGTTCAAACCCAGATTTTAATTGTTGACTTCGATAAGTGCATGTCGATTTACAGCTAAGGGGGTAATTTTGTTGTTAATACATTCTAACTGTAAACTTTAAAATACAACGTTAAAACAATGATGCAATAGCCGTAGTGTAAACGATGCTTATCCACTCCTCGTGGTGCAGTGGCTGACAATCACTGGCTGTAGCGCGGTCTCCCCGGGTTTAAATCGCCACGTCACACTTTTACTCAAATTAATACAAGTTGGGCAATGCCTCATTACAACATCCGTGAAAACTGCTGGACGTCTGTGAAAAAAAGAGCTTCATAGATTCCTCCGGTATAAATATAAAGATTTTGATTCTACTTTACGTAACGAGTGCGGTGACGTCAATGTCAACACGAGGACGTCATCGCAGCCCAACTCAGCCACGTGGGAGTTGTAGGTCCTGGAGTCCGTGGTTCAAATCCAACTTTTATTGTATTTTTGTTTAAATATACACATTTTTAAACAAAACAAACTGTATCTTCAAAATGACGATTACTTAATAACCAGTACAATGATCACACCCATTAAGCCATTTCGTGTGGGTGTAGTGGATAGCACGGCTACCACAGAGGCTGGCAATACCTGGGTTCGACACCGTCAAGGCACTGGCCACGTGTTTTACAGCAAATCAACTGTCTGTTGAACTTCTTTCGCACCGTACGTAGCAAACCGTGCTAATCTGCGGAGCGGGGGAAGGGCAATCTAAAACATGACTCACTACCAAACAATGGTGTCTAAAACGCAACAAGTGATTTGAAATGATAATCTACAGTGAGAAAACCAGTTGAACATACCCTATTACCTCGTGTCCCCCACCCTTATCCTGTGCTCTCATACCCCCCCCCCTCACGTCCCTCCCCTCTCACCTCGCTCCGTCCCCTTCCATCTCCCCCCTCTCACCTTGCATCCCTCCTCCCCATGCCCTCCCATCCATCTTCTCTCCCCTCCACGTGCTTCTTACCCTCTCCCATTGGCTCCACCCCTCCCCCCTTGCTCCCAACTCCCCATGCTCTCCCAATCGCTCTCCCCACCCCGTGATCGATCTTCTACCCTCCCCGTGCTCCCCTCTCCCAACTCCTCTCCCCTCCAGCAGTCGAGACATCATAGTCTTGATTCTTTCGGTAAAGTCACGTAGAAGGGAAATAATAAAATAATATAGAACAATAGAAATTCTCACGACGTTTCGACTGCAACACAATCATCATCAGGTGTGAAATCCACAGAAAGAAACATTTCTTTCTGTGGATTAATATTATTTTATTATTTCCCTTCTACGTGACTTTACCGAAATAACCAAGAAGATGAATCCCTGCAGTCACGAAAGCTTTAAATCAACATTTAGTCGAGACATTGTCCAAACGCCAGTCACGCGCACCACCGGTGAACACGGTTGTCTCGACAAGGTGCGAAACAAGTCCAACATGCACGCGTTCCCTGCCCTCGTGCTCGTCAACCTTTCATTTCACACGTCACTCGCGGGAGACGGTGACATGCCCAACGATGCCATCACAATTCCCGACGAGCCATGGAGCAACACAAATCCCAAGCACACCAAACGTCAATTTACTGCAGGCCACGATTTCTCTTTATTTCATACAAAATGTACACAACACGTTACTCTGATGTATGCATATTTCTTGTATATATACACAGCTTTTCATATAAATCTGGTTTATGCATCATGATATAATTACAGGCCAGCGTGAAGTTTTCACGCGACATTAATAGGCGCTCGCAAACATGGCTCGTTGCATTCCCGACACGATTTGCGATTTCGGCAGCACGAAAAAAATTACATATGTCCAAAAAGTAACAATGACGGCTGTGTTGATCTATGTCCACAGGGCTTGACAAGTTGTGGTGTGTTTAGTGTTGTCTCTGGGTCGATAGGTGCAGTTTGGTGCGCGTCGGTGGTAATGGCTGTTCCGTCTCTTGAACCCACTTCAATTACCCCATCTCCCCAACCGCGTACAATGTAATATAGTCCATGGTCAATGTTGGGTAAGGGTACCTTTAAAACGTTATCAGCCACAATTACTTGCAACTGGAGGTTTTCAAAGTCACAAAAGTGTAACCCCCAAGTCTAAAGTAGTTTTCAAGCACCGTAATTTGATATATCTGTGATTCATAGTTGAAACATTCAGAGTGTGTCCATGCGTGTAGTGACCATGAGCAGCGAATGTATCCGATTTTGTCCATACGCCAGCAACTAGAAATGCCATTGTTCCATAACAAAGCCGGAATCCCGACAGGAGTATTCCAGTTAATTACTTTCACGATTCCTTCATTCAAATGCCTATGGTATTGGATCTGACTGGGCGTGGTATCACTGTCATTAGACCGCTAGAGTCACAGTCTGAAGGTTGCGAGTTTAAGCATCAGTTGGGGTCGGTCTCCGCCTGTAGGTCTCTGGGGTTTACAAAACGAGTACTGTAATTATTTAGTCAGAAGTCGACAATCGCCATATGCTGTTAAACTGGGCCGCAGTGATGTCTATTGTCTACAACTGGCTCATATGGCCACAAAGATCAGCAACTGCCCTATCGTGTCCGTTTGAGCATTGAAACAGCGACTTATCAAAAAGCCAATTTAAGCTCAGAAATATAATCTCTACGCTATGACCGTCGTAGGCTCTGCAGCATCAACTCTATGCATGTTCACTAATGTCCTTGCATGAACCCAAGTGCTAACAATAATTTCCCCCATTTAGATGTTTGGAAGGAATAAAATAAAAATGAAGAGTAATCATCCAGTACACATCAAATCACGGTAATCTGACCACAACCTGAAGTCGAGTATTAATTAATAAGAGGATTACTGATACTTGCATTTGGTCATCTGAATACAGTAACACATTACTCCCAAACACTGTCGATGGCTCACACGGTAAGCCTGACTGGGAATGAATCGTTCCCCGATGATTAGGGGTGTAAGGTGACGTCATTACCGTACACTCTTAGCATAGAGCGCATCAATATATCAATGTATATAAACGTATCAATAGCAATCATAGTACCACTATGTTAAGATCAATAAGTAATGTAACATACAGACATTGGCACAAAGGAGAGATAAACTGAGCAATGAGTGAGATTGGCTGCGGTGAGTGTTCAAGGTGGCGGAAGGGGAGTTAGTGGGAGCGTGAGTGTAGTCGTTAGGGCACTGCGCTACGAAGCTGCCCACCCCAGTTCGATTCCCACTCATGGTCTCAACACCAGTAACGATTATAACCGTTATCTGAACCGATCCCGGTCTCTCCCCTTGGTTGACTCAGCCTCAAATGAGTACTTGGTGTGATGTGTAAACATCGCCACTTTGGATACAAAGGCGGTCGGGCGTCGTGTTGGCGACCCCAAAGCGCTTTTCCCAGAAGTCTGTTAAATGCTGTACGGGGGATCTTTCTCTCTATTCAGGTGGCAGACGGGTGAGAGAATGGGTGATCGTGCGAGCCAGCGAGCGGGTGAGTGAACGCATTTGCGTGTGGGGGTAAGTGGATGAGTATGGAAAGCCTACGAATCCACTTAAAGGCGCCAAAGTTGAAACAAAAAATAGATATCACATTAACACAGCACTTGTATCCCATTGGCTGATTGAAGTCACAAGGTAGGAAGGCATTCGTATTCACATGGCTTATCTGGGTAAGTGGGGGCAAGGTGTTGTTTGATGGTACGGAGGATTTTTCGAGTGGGAGGGAGAGGTGTGATGGATTTAACAGTCTTTCCCACCCATTTGTACCCCATCTTGATCACCCGACACTAACCTCCCATCAAGGCTGGTCTCATAAGGGGCCATCCATTTAGTAAGCAAAAATCTGTCAAAACTTGACCCCTCTCCCCTCCCTGTACGCACGCGTACTTTTTAACCCCCCCCCCCTGAATCCTATAGAACGGCCGATATTTAATCCACGCATACACGATCATGGATGAATAATATTAACGTGTTTAAGCAAACAGATAGTCCACCGCCGGACGATGTAAGTCAGTTTGAAGGCCAATGTAGACAAATTATATTATCGAGGCTTCATCCCCCAATCCCCCCGTCTCCTATGCGTACGCACATTGTCAGTAGAGCCCCCATACGCAAGCGTACGCATTTGGGTTACCCCCCCCCCTCCATGGGTAGGTACTAAATGGATGGCCCCTAAGCGTACAGTCTACGATGGTGTCTGGAAGCGGAGTGCGCACAGTCTGCAGTGGAGCAATTAAATCATTGCTCTGAAGTTTGCGCGGTTATTTGAGTGCACAACTGGCTGGCTGATTGTGTAAGTGGGTAAATAGGAAAGGCAGTTGGTAACTGGGTAGGTGAACGAGTGAAGGCATGGTTGATGAAGTGTGAGAGGTTGAGTGTGGGTTAGTTACCTGAGTTTAAGTGTGGCAGTCGTTGAGTGGGTGGGTGTTTTTGGAGCTTATTGTGTGTGAGCATGTGTACGTGTAGATTTATATGCGTGCGTATATGAGTCTATTTATTTTTGCTTGAGTGATTTCCGGGTCCCCTGACCACCTGCTCACAATCATTACAGACCTCGTGATTTTGGGCAGGCCCAGACGAAGCTACATGGCCAAGAGCCAGAGTTATTTCCTGTGCACCAGGTTGCAACGGAGCTCTCCTCTGGCCCCCACACTATTTTACACCTTTTTCATAGTGTAGTTTGAATGCCTTCCAATTTAGTACCAGTGCGATTTTCATCTGGTGCAGATACCGTGGGAGACTGATGGATGCCTTGGTGTTATCAAGACAAGTGTTGCCTTCTGGTTAACTGTGTTATGTAAGCTGATGACCTCATTATTGCTGTCCATTTTGAGAATATAAAGAAGTAAAGACCTTAAAACTAAACCTGGCGATGGATATAACGGGTGTGGCCTCACCATCAGTGTCACCGAAACAATACTCCCACTCGGGCGCTTTGTGTCATCAAACACTTGTGACAATGTGTGTAAGCTCTCTGGGCATGTTGCTCCACACAAGGCTTCGGGATGTCTCGGCCACAACGATGTCCCGTCTCCTCTTTGCAGAAACACCTGCGCTGGCTTAAAATATTTAGTCTGGCCTGCCCACAGTTCATTCTGGGAGCTGAGTAGACTTGGAGGGAGTTTGGAAAAGATGCTACTGGGCAGTGTGAGCAGCTAACCTCCAGCAACAATTCAAGCTGACTTTGCGAGGAGTACAGATGGTGCATCTGCCATCCACCCTAGCCAGTTAACCCATATCATCTGGGTCTGTGTGGTGATCTGCTCGAGAACTGGTCACTTCACGTGGCCTCAAAGTACAATTCGACTGACACAAGTGCCATGGTGACATCATTGCCACTAAATGATGAATGTCAGCGATTAGAATTGTTATGCAAGTGTATTTCTCTGTACTTGTGTATTGCGTGCGTGTGTATGCAGAACATGTGCGTGTGTCTACATGTTTGACTTGTGTGTGTGTAATTGTTTGAGCGTATGTATAATTGCGTCATGCTGTTTGTGTGCTGTGTGTGACTGTCTACACGGTGTAGTGATCAAAACTTCCCAGATATTCAAGGGCAGCACGGTAACAGAATTGGTACTGATCCTGGAGACAGAGGGGCGACACAAAGAGACAATGAGACATGTGACAGAGTTATCAATGTGTATACATTATGTAGACAGTAAAACCTTGGATTGCGAGTAACTTGGTCTGCGAGTGTTTTGCAAGACTGAGCAACATTTTTAAATAAATATTAATTTGATAAACGAGCGAGGTCTTGCAATACGAGTAGTACGTATACACTTTGTCTGCCGAGCGTCACGTGATCACAACTGATGTACGAAGTGCTTTGATATACGAGTGCTTTGGATTACAAACACGTTTCCGGAACGAATTATGCTCGCAATCCAAGGCTTTACTGTATATGCGTATGCATGTGATTTACGCAGAAGCAGCAGGAACAAAATAATTTGAAGGTGGGGTAGGCACAGGATGAGAGGCATAAACTAAACAATAAACTATTTTTATTTTACCAGATAAGGACCACAGAGGTATATAGCAGCCAAATCCTCTAAAAGCATGTTGATTCTAAATGTGGAGGGAAAAACTGTAGGACCTGGAGAAAAATCCACGCGACCACGGGGAGAACATGCAAACTCCAAATATATTGGCGTTGAGGTCAAACCCACGACCTCCTGTATACCAGGCGAGGTAGTTAACATCTGGCCACCACGGCGGCCTAGGGGGCAGGGTCACTACAAACAGAGCCGTCTCAATGCTCAGTGGGGTTCTTGTGCTAATGGGGTGGAAGGGACCTACAAAGCGACTCAAAGAAAGACTTAGAAAGAAACGGAAATCGTGGCAGACACAGAGAGCAACATGAGGATAGACAGAGTCAGGGAATTAAATAGACACGGGGAGAGACAGTAAAAAGGAGTTGAACACAGAGATTGTAGAGATGCAGAGAGCTGAAGAGAAACAAAAAAGAGAGATAAAGCGACAGGATTGGCGACAGACAATAACATGGAGAGAAACACTTGACATTTTAAGGGTCCATAAATGACTGTTGGCCCTCTGCCATGCACTGGTTTTGCATGGTTAGAGATCGCTCTGTATGTAGCTAGAGACGGCCATGGCTAACAGTAACGTTAGCCATGGTCAGGAATCAAGCTTAGGTCAGACGTTTATAGAGCAGTGCACTAACCACGGCGTCACCGCTCCACCCAGCGAATGCATTAACCTCTGAGCTACCATTCCTTACAAATGCATGGTATACAGTTGTAATGAGTGGTAGCTCAGTGCTCTGTGCACTGTGCTATAAACCTTGGTGCGACTCCTGGCCATGGATACCACCATGGAATGTGCTACCTGTTATAGGACTCCCCTAGGTCAACTCAACCTTAAATGACAATATCGTGTGCTCTGTGAACTGGAAAGGCAAAGGTGTTGGCTATGCCACAACCCTTTCGTGTGCTGTACCAGCCTTAATACGTTCCTGCGAACAGCACTTGTCCCAACAGTTTTTCAGACTAACCACGGGGGGACCACCTTCCTCTGCGTCTACGTGTATGTACATAGTGTGTGTGTGTGTGTCACCTCGGTCTGCACCATGCCCGGCCTCTGTGTCCTCATCATCTTCACTGTCTGGAAGAGGTCGAGGAGCCCTTCGTAGCGCATGCGCTCCAACACGACGCTCAGGGCGACGAAGACGCCTGTGCGGCCCACACCAGCACTGGGCACACGCAAACAAAGACAAAGATCCCCCGTATAGCCTTTAACAGACTGTAGGGGCAAGTGCTGTTAGAGAGCACATATGAAGGCCGGCGCAACACGCGAGGTGGGTGGCCAGCACCACGCCTGACCGCCTTTGTCTCCCTAGTGGCGACGTATACACACCGCACCAGGTACTCATTTGAGGCCGAGTCGAGTTAGGGGAGGCCCAGGACCGGTTGGCTGGGTTCTGTGGGCTTAAGTAATACAGTCTTGGAGCATACAGGACTTGCCGACCACCGGTACCAGCGGTGTCAAGATCAGGCTCTGTGGAGGAGCAATGCTCCCAGTAATGAGCAAGGTGCTGGGTGGGATAAAAAAAGCACAGCAAATCGGCACAGTGGGAAACACAGGTGGTGCATCTGCCAGTCATCCCGACAGTGAACCCATAACGCACGGGTCTCTCTCGTGACCTTCTGCAAATGAGGCTTTGATATTTCACGTGGCCGCAAAGTGCACCTAGCATGGCACAAGCGCTATGGTGATGTTACCATGAATGGGGGATACTGCTGCTGTAGTGCATGTGCGCGCGTGTGCTGCTTTGGGCACCTGCAGTGCACCGTTATTGGCCCCTCCTGTCCAAACTGCTCCTTGGTCTTGTGCACCTGCCCTATGAAGTCGATGAACCCCTCCCCAGACCGGGGCACACCCTGCTCCGGCCAATCCGTGAACTGGAACTGACGGACGGTGCGAGACTGCCCGTCCTGGAGACGTGGAGAAACATCCAGTACACACGTGACAATATTTACATGTGACAGGATCCATTTGCCCATCTGTCAGTGAGGTTAGTCGCATCATTCACTTCAGTAGTTTTCATCATACAGGGTCCAGTAAGGGCTCATTGTTGAAGGTGAGCTATGTACCACCTTCAGGCGAGGTCACTAAAACCATGATTTAGGAATACACAGTGATGGGAAAGGATAGGGCCTATTGTAGTGGAAGGCCAATGAGGGTGGGTTGGTGGGTTGAGTGAAGCAGTGAGTGAATGATTCAGTGAATACGTGTGCAAGTGAATAACGTGTGAAGGAGTCACTCGAGTAAACAAGTGAAGAAGTGAGTGAGCGAATGAGTCAATGTGTGAGTCAACGAGTTGTGTGAGTGAGTGAACAACTTACCCTCGCATCTGTGACCTTAAACTCTCTCAATACGTATTGAGGCATCTTGTACTCGGCCATGGGATCAACCACAAAATACTGATAACGAGCAGAGCGTTCGGCTGGCCAGTACTGGTGACATTTCTCCTGCAGGGTACACGGAAACAAGCAGACGACACGGAGCCAAGGGGTCACAGAGATATACAGGCTCATGCAAGAAGACGGGGAACACATGGGGGACACGTGGACAAATGTCAGGCTTAAAAAATATATAATGTACCAGGTAAGGCCCACTGGGCTACACAGTTATTTTTCAGAAGTGACCTGGCCACAAATTATAACTCGACAAAGTGGCTCATCACGTGGGAATTGACAACAGATAAATACTCTAAACGCATGATTCTAAATGCGGAGGGAAAAACCGGAGGACCGGGAGAAAAATCCACGTGAGCACGGGGAGAACACGCAAACTCCAAATATACAGCAGCGTCAGGTTTGGAATAGAACCCACAACCTCCTGTATACCAGGCGAGATAGTTGAACTTTCACCACCATGGGGTGCATGGATGGACAGCAAGGAGATGGACGGACAGGAGATGGGAAAGAGGGGGACACACGGGGAGTCGAGAGACATGGGGAAGTATGGGAATGTGAGCAGACAGACAGTGTGGGTGCAATGTGATAATCAGGTAGGTGCAGACAATCCTACGACTGCTTTGGTTTAAGCATGTAATACAATTGTAGCATGCACTGTTTGTTACTTTTAGGAGCTTCACTTGCATCAAGGCAATTATATACTGGTAGATGTTTTTTTTTATCCGCATATTTGATACAAATACGAGGTATGTATAAAGCTGTAGCACTTGACATTCCGAGATGAAAGTCACAAGCCGTACGCAGCTCTCACAAAATCGTTACTGGACAACTCTTGGAATGTCTAAGTGCGGTTTTGATCTCATTTCACAAGGTGCTAAAAGCAAAGGAGACGAAGTCCATTGCTGCTCCTTTTGTTTGTAGAAATCACCTTTCCACAAGAAATAGGTGTTCCTTTGACAGTGTTCAGCTAGTCGTGGGATATCTTTGGCTAAACCTGTGTTAAAATAATATATATTTTAAATGCATGCCTATACAGGGCACTATACTTCAATAGGGTTTACCTTTGGGGCTATTATAGTCCACACGATCGACATGAAGTACAATGACAAGAACAATGCGCTTGCAAATGTGCATACATAACACTGTACGTGGATTACCACAGAAATAACACAAACGGCAATGGATACCCATCGTAATGTTTCATTAATCCTCCCGCCACTCCGCACAAGAAGAGCACACAAGCATTGTCATCACATCTACCCCTCTCCTATTTCATCTGGATAAAATCATTAGACCATCTCGTGTATCTCATCATACGCCATCTCTCTCCTGTATCCCCTCTTGAACAAACATCTCTCCGAGCTTCACTCGTCTATCCCATTCATCATACATATTTCTTATCTCTTCTGTCTCTTCTTTCTTGTGCCACTTCATCTGCATCACAAACCTGCATCTCTTCTGTAACATCGCCGCATCTCTCTCCTCCATTTACGTATCTCTTCCGAGATAATTTCATTCAAGATCCATCTTGCATCTACATCTCTCCCATATCTCACATCGCACTCCAGCTCCTCGTGTCTGGGTCTCTGCTCCCTCTATTCACTTAATCTCTTATCTTACGTCTGCATCACTCTTTTCATAGCTTACTGCATGTCATCTCACTACATCGTCTCGAACGCTTGTTTGCGTCGCTGTTCTAACACTGTATCTCTCACCTAAATCATCTTTCTCACTGCATCTGCGTAGTCTCCTCTTCATTGAATGCATCACGTTTGTCTCTCACCTGTCTCTTGTCTCAATGCATTTATTATTCATATTTTGCAGATCAGTTTCTTCTGTATAATATACTGTACTACATTACATATATATTTTTAAAAAAGTTCACTACTTGCCTCTGGATCCAGCCGGAAATCTAATTGGGCATTTGGATTTCAGCCATAAAGCAAAAAGTGCTATTCCATGCACCTCTAATATAGGTTTATACACGTGTATGGGACCCTTTTTGGCAGTATCAAGAGCATGAAACAATTACGAGGCTTAACCCTTTTAGGAAAGAATTTCCAAACATCAGAAAAGGTACCTATCACGAGGTCTCAAGTCTGCATTAAACACACATGTGGTATAACATGCAAACAAATATGCTTTGATAATGTATGTATTGTCCTTGAAACTGATTGGCCTACATTATACGTATGTCTTTATACGTGTGTGTAAACGTGTGCGTGTGGTCCGGCAAAGCAACCCCCTACCTCCTCGTGGTGCCAGACGGACAACGCTGTCGTGGGCAGTGCCGTGGGGGGAGGGCCAATTCCTATTGGCCTTTCCCCTCATGGCTCTAAACAGGTGCAAGGGGCTGGTAACCCCTCCACCTTCAATGAATCACCACTAAACCAAGACCACAAAATTTAATAAATAAACTTGTGCCGGAGGCCCCGGGGGGACAGGCGTCTATGACGTCTCCTGGCCAAACCCCATTTGGCAGAGCCAGGAGACTGAATCTTTACCCTCGGGGCTCCTCCAGCAACAACAACAAACCACTACGTGTGGCCACGTGGAATGTTCGAACGCTCACTGCGGAGGAGAGACTGCCACTCCTCTGTCGGGAGCTGGACCGGTACCGCCTGGATCTCTATGGTATTCAGGAGGTCTGGTGGACCGGCTCTGACTCCTGCCACCATGAGGGGTGGACTGTCCTCTGCTCGGGGCAGGAGACTGCCAAACAAGGTGTGCCTCTTCTTCTGAATAAAATAATGAAGGAGGCGTGGGAGCGTGGCGGTGAGGTGTGGGAAGCTGTAAGCCCCAGGCTACTTTGGGCTCGCCTTCCCATCAACCAGGGGCGAGGAGTGGTGGTCGTGGTTACTTATGCCCCCACTGAAGACGAACATCCGTGGAGGGATGCAGGCAAGGCCGATGAGTCAGATGCCATCTATGACCTGTCACAGGTGCTATCTAAAGTGGCCCGTTGGGAGAGAGTCATCTTGTTGGGTGACTTCAATGCCCGAGTTGGTCATGATGCTGGCACCTGGTCTGGAGTAATTAGAATGCATGGGCCAGATCAGCTCAATAACAACGGCAGGATGATGCTAGATTTTTGTGCAGCCCATGGGCTTGTAATTACCAACATGCTGTTCCGGAATCGGCACATCCACACCACATCATGAATGCATGCCGAGTACAAGCAAGAACATCTGCTCGACTACATAGTGACGGAACAGCGGATGTGGGCCCATGTCCTTGACACCAGGACCTACCGTGGAGCTGATCTACCCACTGACCATCGACTTGTCATCTGTAAGATGTGCCTGACATTCTTCCACTCCGGTGGTGGGTGTACACCCAGGACCCCATTCAAACCCTTAGTGGCATGGTCTCAGCTAGCTAATTAAAGTTGCAAGCGAGAATTTCATCATCGCTTGCGGCTGGGGTTGGCATCATCCCCCACTCCTCCTGATGTCGAGGGGAAATGGGCGAGATTTAGGACTGTGACTCATGCAGCTGCAATGGCTGCTTTGGGTACACGGTCCAGACCTCCCCAGAGACCTGGCTGACAGAGGAGGTGTTCAAGCTGGCTGAGAAAAAGCGACAGGCCCACTCTCATCGGCTACAGCATCCCACGTCGGAGAATGAGGAGGCTTACCGCAGCCTTCGCTCGGAGGTTCGGAGAGCCGTAATGCGCTGCAAGGATGGGTGGTGGTCGCGGGTTGCTGAGGAGATGGAGTCTACCTCAGTGGCCCGTGATCACAAATCCCTCTTTAATTCCATGAAAAAAGTAACCTGCAGCACCACACCTATTACCACCATTAGGGGAAAAATGGTGATCCAATCTCTGACCCCCAGGTGAGGTCCTGGGGGAGGGGAAATCCCTCACCCAGGAAAACAACGTGGGACAAAGTGGGGATGACCCTGCTGAGGCTGCGGTGCCTCAAACATTGGAAGAAGTCATCCCCTGTGAGTGGCTGACTGAGGTGCCATCGGTTGAGGAAGTACTGAAGGCGATCTAGAGTCTGAGACCAGGAAAGGCACCGGGCAGAGATGATCTCCCAAGCGAAATGCTGAGGGAGGGTGGCGTTTGTGCACAGACTGCCCTACATGACATCATAACAACAGTCTGGACCACTGGACGGGTTCCGCAGGATTGGAAGGATGCCCTGGTGGTCCCCCTCTTTAAGAAGGGGGACCGCACAAACTGTAACAACTACAGAGGTATCTCACTCCTCAGTGTGCCGGGAAAGGTCCTAGCAAGGATTATTCAACATCGCCTTGCTAGGCACGCTGAGGAGAGGCTTCCGGAGCCCCAATGCAGTTTTAGGAAAGGGAGGTCCTGCACAGATGCCATATTTTCTGTCCGTCTGCTACAGCAGAGGTATAGGGAATTACAACAAGACCTACATCTCTGCTTTATTGACCTGGTTAAGGCCTATGATACCATCAGTAGGCCTGGGCTCTGGGTTGTTCTTCGTGCCTTCGGAGTCCCTGACCCTCTTGCTCATTAAGGACTTTCATGATGGTGAGCGGGACCCGGGTAAAACTACGTGGCCGAGAGTCAGAGCCATTCCCTGTTCACCTTGGGGTGCGACAGGGATGTCCTCTGGCTCCCACATTATTTAACATCTATTTCGACCACATAGTTCGTGAAGCCTTCAATAGCTGTACCGGAGGAATTTGCCCTCCAACAACAACGGAGGGGGAAGGAGTGACACCAACAACGAGCGGAGCGCCGGGTGACTAAAGCACAGCAAGTTTGCACAGTAGGGGGCACACGTGGTGCATCAGCTAGTCGTCTCAGTCAGTCGACCTGTGGCATCTGGGTCTGTCCCGTGACCTCCTGCCAGCGGGCGTTCGACACTTCACGTGGCCTCAAGGTGCACATAGCCTGGCACAAGCAGTCGTGGTGACGTCACCGCCACTTAGTGGCGAATGGCGGTTGTTGTTGTTGTGCATATACGTGTGTGTTTATACGTGTGCGTTCATACGTGTGCATTTATACATGTGTTTATACGTGTGCAGATACACATTCTCATGTACCCGCCCCATCTCTCTCAGCTTGGTCAGCATCACAACGATGGTTGAATTTTGCTCCCAAAGCATTCTCCACAAGTCCTCTGTGGTCTCTGGAAGGGGCCCTTGTGTTGCGATGTAGGCCCTCTGCTGCCTGCAGGACAGGGAAACAACCATCAGAAAACCCACATAGAACAATCATTAATCTAATGCGAGAATAAAGCTTCTACTAGCATGACATCAGAGGCATGTCTGTTGACAGAGTTGATCAAAAAGTTCGCATTACAACTGCGTATGTTTCCGCGATTGTGCTGTATGGCTCTCCGATGCGTATCCAGGTTGTAAAGCGTGTTGTGGTGTTGTTGTGTTGTTTGGAATGATGTCTGACATTCAGCTCAATGTGCCGGAAGGTTCTTTCAAGAACTGAATTCAGTTACGTTAGTATTTCTATCAGAGAGGTGTATCAATCGTATGCAGCGTGGAACACGGATTTCATGATCATCCTCCATGTTAGCGAGATGTTAACTGCCTCGCCTGGTATACAGGAGGTCGTGGGTTCAATCCCGACCCTGACGCCTGTATATTAGGAGTTTTGCATTTTCTCCCCGTGGTTGCATAATCATCCACTTTGTTGAGCTATAAATTTTGGCCAGGTCACTTCTGAAAAAGAGCTAGACAACTCAGTGGGGCTTCCCTGGCAACAAAAAAAAAATTAGAAGTTTTTTTATAGATCTGAACAAAATTTGGTTTGTGGCTTTTCCTCATTCACAGTGACATCTCTGTATCGAATGTTGTGAGCGGCGTCGTCGTGCTTGTGCGTGCGTGCGTGCGAGCGGGAGACCGGTATCCATCGATGTAGCTGGCGTTGATGTAGTCGGATCCCTGGGTGCCCCGGATTGCCTGCAGCGCCACCCGGCTGCTGTCAGGCGGAATCACTGTGAGCAGGCGATTCTTGAGCTTGTTGCACGGCAGCGCCCCCGACGGCGCTGTGCTCACCCGCAGCTTGGACATCTGCAGGCGCTGGACAGGTGAAAGAAAAGGTCGGATAAGGGGAGCATGTCGGAGAAGGGAGGCAGAAGACGGGAGAGGGAGAAATGAGGAGAGGAAAACGGAGAAATGAGGAAAGAGAAGGAAGATAAATAACATTATTTATGCATGTATGTGTACAGCTTGCATACACGTGAACAGCATGTACATTCCCATACACTTGTGTGTGTGTATGTTTGTCACCTTTTTGGGGAGCGGTAGTTTTGCGGTTAGCATGCTGTGCTATGAACCTGGAGGGCAAAGTTCGATTCCCGCTCACGGCCAACACCAGTGATTAGTATTTGAACCGGTCCTGGGCCTTCCCGAGGTCGACTTCGCCTAAAGTGAGTACCTGGTGCAATGTGTTAACATGGCCACTTGGGAGACAAAGGCAGCCGGGCATGGTGCTGGCCACTGACCCCCTCGTGTACCGTGCCGGCCTTCATATGTGCTGCTTGCTAACAGCACTTGCCCCAACAGTCTGTTACAGGTTATATGAGAGATCTTTATCATCTGGGCAGTTCCAATGATTTTGGATGTACATTTCAGATGCAAAAATATGTGGCTCATCTTGAGTATAATCAACAAGTGTTTTTTTTTACTTGGGCATAATGTCAATCAAGACTGAGATTCAGACAAAAATCATTTGCCTACCATTCTTGATAAGCGAGAAATCCTCATAAAAATACCACGGTGGTGGACGTACTCAGACCAAATTATTATTTACATCCAGGCCGGGATGCTGATGGTGCATTCATTGCCATGTACGTGTCAAACTATTGACTCATTCAATATCTATGCCAAATGTTTTAAAAACATAATTACCTTAAAAATACTACCCACTATGCATTGCCATAGTATTTTTGGCATGGCGTGGGGGGGGGGGGCCTTGTAGACACAGGATCTGAGCCTCTCCTGCCACATGGGGGGGGGGCCCCCCTTCAGCCCATAGCCCCCCGGCGCAGCTGCACGACCTGCACTCTCGACAGCGAAGCTCCACCACTGCTAATGTGCAAATCACCACGATGGCTTTGCAAGGTTGAGGGTGAGGCTGAGCGAGCTGTAGGGCTGCCCACCTGGAACTCGAGGTGGAGCCCCGTGGTGCGTGGCTCCGTGTGCGACACGCTCTGGCTCAGCCGCTGAAGGTGAGCGTGCAGGGAGCGGGCGGGCGTCTCCGTGCAGCCACTCGACACCGCCTCCACCAGCGCCGTGTGCACAAACGCGTACTGCTCCTCCGTCTGCACCATGTAGTTGCGCTGGGCTCGCATGCAAGTCACCTGCAAGCATGCAAACACACACACACACGTACTGACAAATGAGACAAAGATCCCCCCGTGTAGCCTCTAACAAGCTATTGAGGGAGGTGCTGTTTGCGAGTACCTAAGGAGGGCGGCATGGCACACGAGGGGGTGGCTGGTCAACACTACACCCAACCGCTTTTGTCTCCCCAGTGCTGATGTTTACACACAGCACCAGGTATTTATTTAAGACTGAATCGACCTAGGGGAGGCACACGACCGGTCAAGATATGTCACCGGTGCTGGCTGTGAGCAAGAAATGAACACGGGTCACTGCGTTTGTAGTGTGGTGTGTTAACCACGATGCTACCTCTCCCCACAACGTACAGAATACACACATACACCTACATGCACATATACCTCTAAATACAAACTAGCGGTGATACAGCCTTATAGACCGTTGGAGCAAGTGCTGTTAGTGAGTGCTTATGAAGGTCCACATGACGCACAAGATGGTGGTGTGGCTAGCGCCGAGCCTGGCCACCTTTCTCTCCCAAGTATTAAGGCTGAGCAAATTTACGGGAGGCCCAGGACCGGCTCTTATATCACGAGCCACTGAAGCGAGCCGCGGCTGTAAACTAACCCCGGGTCACTGGGTTCATAGCATGGTGCACTATCCACTCTCCACACATATATCTCGATACACACACACACACAAGTTTCAAGCAAAAGGGGTCGTCACAGTTATTGCTGTTGATTTTGCAAGTCTACACCCATCCTCCAACAGCAGACCCCAACATCTGGTGTTAGTCCTTTGGTCGCTGATCTCCGGATGCCATTCGAATGCCTGTCTAGTTGTTAAACTGTCCCTCCTCCAGCAATTGTGTGCAACATTTACCTGTCATGTCCTATTCTGAATTTCCAAGTTGATTACCCACTCTTGCCAAGAAATTCCTAGAATACCAGACAAAGCACTTGTGCTAAAATGGCAGTTTTTTTTTTGGTATAGTTACTTGTTGAAAGTCCGGCAGGAACGCAGACGTTATGCCTGCGTTGTAGTTGCGTTCACGTTGTGCTAATATTGTAGTTGTGCTATAGTTTAATTGTAGATGTGTTGTAGTTTAGATTGTTTAGTTATGCTGTAGTCGTGCTGTACATCTGTTCTAGTTGTGCTGTAGTCATGCTGTAATTTGTGCTGTGGTCGTGCCGTTGCCGTACCTGTCCATACACATCGACCGTGTGTTCGTGCTTCACCCTCTCGAGCGCAGCGTCGATGACGATGAGGCAGCCCGTGCGACCCACACCCGCACTGTGGGACAGCAAATAGAGAAGAGGTCGAGAGGATTGAATGAGAGATCAAGAGGGAGAAGTCAGGGAGTAAGCAGTGAAGGTGTGAGAGGTCAGCAGCTGAGCGATCTGCGGTTAGAGGATTGCGTGTTTGCTGCTTGCAACTGTTGCCTTGTGACCGTTACTGTGTGATTGTTGTGCGGTTGTGTCCATTTCACATGACTGTGTGGCCAGTACGGCCCATCAGCATCATCCCTCTGGGATTGATAACACATTCTTGCGGAGGGAGCTGGTAGGAACGCTGGGTTGCTCGGTCAATGGCCAGGGTCAACGGCGGCGTGGTGTATTCCGCAAATATGCCCGACTGTGAGGGCGGGCACAAGCCAGTGTGAGTAGGTTAAACGTTGAGTTTTATAAGGGCACCACGGGGTGACCAGCCCCTCCCCAACCAGCCCCACCCCTCCCACCCCCCACCCAGCCCCTCCCCACCCAGCCCCTCCCCATCCTCCCCACCCAGCCCCTCCCCATTCCTCCCCACCCAGCCCCTCCCTCCCCACCCAGCCCCTCCCTGCACGACGGACAGACGGACACAATAATCCCCTGTGGGCTGGTGTAACCAGGAGGTTCCTACCAGTATGAGTAGCACTGCTGCGTGGGAAGTCAAAAGTGGTTGTGCTTTCAGAACACTGAACCCCGTCATTACAATGAGAGACTTTCATCACTGGCTCAAGGCCAGTAGCAGAGATGAGCTCTGCCCTATGCTTATTTGTCCAGGGAGACTTTGTTGTATGCCTTTTGCATGATTATTATTGTTGTATGATATCACTGTGTTGCATTACTGCAGCTCTGGTGTTGTTGTAATGTTGTCAGCGCTATCTCAATACGAAGTGGGGCCCCTGTGCAGATGGGGAAAGAGTGCCCCCCACGTCACAGGTATAGAGATGTGCAGAAAACGAGAGAGAGAGACGTGGAGACAGCCATAGACATGCACAGAGTGAGTGCATGCAATACACTTTTGGATTTATATACCATCTAAAATATCGTCACATCTCACTCAGCGCAAAAACAGTGGGATGTGCACCATGGGGAGAATGAATAAGTAAATACTGTATGGCTTTCCTTTACATGAAAGCAAAGACAAAGAAAACAACATGCATGGAGACAGTCACAGAAAGATACACTGAAAGACAGAGACAAACATAGAGACACTGAATAAGACACAGAGAGACAAACAGAACATTTTGGAGGGCCCCTATGAAACTGAAGGCCTTATGCACATGTGTAAATGTCCACGGACGGCTGTTGGACAGTGCTTGTTGTTGTTATTTTGTGATTAACGTGTTTTGTTGTTGTGTAACTGTTATTCTTTTGTTGCGGTGATTGTAGTTGAGCTATTGTTATTGTTGTTGTGGTTTGGTGATTGCTATTGGGTTATTGTGTTGTTGTGACTGTGAATGTTGTGGGAATGTTGTTGTGGTGTGATTGCTGCTGTGTTGTTGTTATTGTGACTGTCGCATTCAATTATTACAAAACTATTTAAATGTTACCAGGTAAGGCCCACTGAGCTATGTAGCTCTTTTTCAGAAGCGACCTGGCCACAAATGATAGCTCAACGAAGTGGCTTATGATGTGGAAATTTATAGCCAGCAAATGATCTTAAACACATGTTTCTAAATGTGGAGGGGAAACCCGGAGGACACGGAGAAAAATCAATGTGACCACGGGGGTAGACATGTTAACTCCAAATATACAGGCGTCAGGGCACGGGATCGAACCCACGACCTCCTGCAAACTAGGCAAGGCATCTTGCCACCGTGGCACTCCACATCATGCTGTTGTATGATTGTGGCATTGTTGTATCGTGGTGGTGTCATTGTTGTATCGTGGTGGTGTTATTGCTGTATCTTGGTGTTGTGGTAGTATCTTGTTGTGGTTGTATATTGGTGTTGTTGTTGTTGTATCGTCGTAGTGTTGTTGTTGTGATCGCTGCCTGCAGTGCACGATGAGGGGGCCCCCGTCAGCGGAGCTCCCCCACGCGGCGCGCACGCGGCGCAGGAAAGCGAGCACGGGGGTCGGGAACTCGGGAACGCCGTGGTCCGGCCACGCCGTGAACTGAAATTGCCGCACGTCCCGGCGCTCCGTACAGCCAGACTACAACAACAAGAATTACACGACAACCATTATGTAACAACCGTACAACTGCAGAACCTAACAACATCCCAGATCTGTAGCATTGAGAGTCAAGGGGAAGTGGGGGGTAATGTGCAAATCATTTGGTTTGAGTAAACACTGCATCAGGGGTTTCGAACTCGCCATCACCATTAAGGTCTTGACCATTTCCCCACCAGAGATCGAATTCTCCTCACTGCCAACATCAGTGATGAATATCAGAACCAGTCCTGGGTCTCACCTAGGTTGGTGTGGATCGGCCTTACCTAGGCCTTCAACGAGTACCTGGTGCGGTATGTAAAACATCACCACTGGTGAGACAAAGGTGACCGGGTGTAAAGCTGGTCACATCACCCCCTCGAGCTACGTGTTTGACCTTTGTAGGTGCTTGCAAGCAGTACTTGCCTCCAGAGTCTGTTAAGGCTATAGGGGGATCTTTTTCGTTGTACACTCATGTGTGTACAGGTAGTCCCTGACTTACGATGGTCTGACTTACGATATTTCGATCTTACGATGGCGATAGCTATATTACAAAATTGTAAAATATTTTATAATTCGCGCGGCAGGCAAACGCAGCAGTGTACGAGGTACGATACTGTACGTTGGGACGCTGCCGGGATCTACTGTACACATCTCCCGCCTTGTGTGATGCCTCACTCTCACCAGCGGTCGATGGAGTTAAGTTGTCACGGTGTTAGCGCGACTTACGATGGGGTCGTTGTAACGCATCTCCATCGTAAGTTGGGGACTACCTGTATGTGTGTGCATACCCGCGTGAGAGTGAAGGAGCGTGTGCTGTATGTTGCCAGCTCCACTGTGTCCGTGAGCGTGACTTGCACGAGCCCATATGACTCGGAGCCCCGGTTGGGCCAGTACTGATCACACTTCACCTGCACAGGGAGAATGGAGAGACAGACATCGAAATGTACAAGGGTGTTGAATGAAGACACAGGAAGACACAGATATATAAGCATTACACAACTGCATAGATACGAGAGTGGGAATTTGCCTATTTATGCACGTATGTAATGAGTGTACATAGTATGTACATTAGTGTGTATTAGAGTACATATGCCACATGTGCATTGCCGGCCTTCAAGAGTGCTCGCTGACAGAACTTGCCCCAACAGTCTCTTAAGGCTATACGGGGGATCTTTGTCTTGGTATGCCACGACATCAAACCAAATGGGAAAAATCCGAGGAAGCATAGACCTCCCATTACAACAAGCCATGCTCAACGAGCTCATCTGAGATTTGGCAATATGGGATCACCGCACGAGACGGCTGGATGAAGCTGGCCCAACTGGAGACCGCTAGCGAACACCATGGAGTTCTGCCGAGGCTCCCAATAAAAGCCTCATCGAAGGCCCCACTACTGCTCCACGTGGCTTTGATTTGATAAGAACACTGTGGTGGCTCCCATCATCGACTGCTTCCGAAGAGCAACTGGTCGTTGCTGTGCACACCTCTTCCACCAGTGGGACATTATAGGTGACCCCGCAGTGTGACTGCGGCCACTCGAGCCAAACAATGGATCATGTCGCCAACAACTGCATTCTACGTCGACTCTCTGACGGACCGAGCAGTATTGGTCATGCTTCTCCAGAAGCCATCACTTGGCTCACAAACTTAAACCTGAACGTATAATAGACACATTTGCCATACTCTAGAAGAAGGGTACATAGTTACAGGTGAAATTGATAATTGCTGGCTTTTTTGTCACTGAAAGGAAATATCTTGAAGTGTTGGCTGACTGATCTTCAGGAAATAGAGTGAATGCTGATCAGCCAATTGGATGAAGTACATGTTGTATATATGAACCTTATGGCAGGACCCCGGGGTCCCGAATAATCGGAAGTCAAAATCGTAATTAATGAATTTATTTTTGGCGACTCCGTCCCATCACCACCAAGCGCGGATTATTTTGTTGTCATGTCGCCCAAGCGCAATGCGGACGAATGCGCAAAAAAAATAATTTCAACTTTGATTAGCGAATCGTGTAGAGCTCGTCGAGAGGAAAAGATTGCCGTATCGTTTGCCTTCAACAGACATAAAATGACGTCGCAACGCAGTTTATGCGAGAGCCGGGGGCTTATGGGACCCCGGGGTCCCGCCATAAGGTTCATATGTGGAAATACAGTGCGATAGTGCTATACCACAGCATTTACTGAGGTTGTGGACGTTAGCATAGTATATGCCATTGTAGCAGTATACATGCATATCCGTTGACGTATATGGGTATGCCTGTGTGCCAAGTCTCGGTGACAGTTCTCTGCGGCTGAATTGGCACCTGGCTACTGGCATCTAAGGGCGCCACAGTGACGAGATGTTAACTGCCTCGCCTGTTATACAGGTCGTGGGTGCGATCACGACCCTCACACCCGTGGTGGTGAGTTTTTTTCTTGGTCCTCCGGTTTTTCCCTCCACACTTAGAAACATGCGTTTAGAGTATTTGGCTGTTAGAAAAATTTCCACATCATAAGCCACCTCGTTGAGCTATCATTTGTGGCCAGGTAGCTTCTGAAAAAGAGATACATAGCTCAGCGAGCCTTATCTGCTAAGATATATATTTTTAATAGGGTAGTTTAATAGATACCCGTGAACGCTCCTCCAGCTTTGTCATCATGACGATGGTGGAACTCCGCTGCTCCCACACCATCCTCCAGAAGTCGGCGACCGTGTCCGCGAGCGGGCCCTGTGATGCTATGTACGCGTTGTGCCTCCGGTAGCCGTCAATGTAATTGGCGTTGATGTAGTCACTGCCTGGGACACCTGTGAGCGTGTGCGTTGACGGAGGTGGTGGCAAAAGAGCGGTTGTTATGAGCGGCATTACCGGCAGCAGGAGCAACATCACCACTGAAGCTATCCGCATCATCAGCCATGGTGGAATAAGCAACAATAACAACACTCACTCAGAAACTATTATCATTAAAATCATGAGCAGTATCACCATTAACCTCAATGTCAATTGGAGCCAAAGCAGCAGTTACAACAGTAACTAAAACAAAATATTATCAATAGCAACAGTAGTAGCATCAGCATCACCATCCTTATTGTAATCAACATGTCATCATCATCACCACCATCATCATGAACATTGGTACCACAAATGATACATTTATTATTATTATCATCAATATCAGTAGCAGCAGTATCAACACTAAGATCATCTTCATTGCCATCAACACAATCATCATCATTCACAGCACAAGCAACATTTTACATGAACACACCAACTTGACTGTTACATCAAAAGCTAACGAGTGAATTATTGAGAGAATACGTGAGGGTGAGTGTGCACGTTGTAGTGTACCAGTGTGTGTGCATTTGTGTGTTAGTAAGATTGTGTTGGCGAATAGTGGGTGAGTGATTGCGCGAGCATGTCACCCACCGTCGATGGTGTGCAAAATGACGCGCGAGTGGTCGTAGGCGACCACGTTCGCGTATCGGTTCTTGTGTTTGTTGATCTCCAAGTTGGAGTGGTCCCACGTAAACTGCTGACCTGGGTCTATAGACTAAAGATACAAGAACGCATACGTATGAATAAACATACAAAGACAAAGACACACACACATATTCATGCAAATTCTGATACGAAAGAAAAGCACGTAAATACGACACACACAAACATATAACCCATGCCAACTGCATTTAGGTTTTCTGGCCATGATCTCACCGAGAACACAGCGGTGGTTATCATTAACACATTAGAGTTCAGCAGTACTCTTGCATTGTGTCTCACATGCTTGCCACTGCACACAAAAGTTTCGAACCCGACCCCGACGCCTGCTGTATATTTGCATGTTCTCTCTCCCGGTGGTCGCGTGCATTTTTCTTTGGGGTCCTCTGGGTTTCCCCTCCACATTTATAACAACACGCATTCAGAGTAGTTGGCTGCTATACATTTCCACGTGATTATCCACTTCGTTGAGCTATCATTTGTGGCCAGGTCGCTTTGAAAAAGAGCTATATAGCTCGGCAGGGGCTTACCTGATAAAATAAAATTACTTTGGGAGAGGTTTTTCTTTTCTATATATACTTTTGTCTCAATAAGTTCACACCTATTTATAAAGGATAGTACTATACATGTATATATGTATGCATTAATGTGTGTTTGTGTGCAGCATGTACAATTTGCAGCATGTACAGTGTGTGTGTGTGCAGGATGCATAGGTCCACTCAACCTTAAATGAGCTATTTAAGTTAGTGAGCCTTATCTGGTAAAATATAAATAGTTTAATTCTAGATTTGAAGTTTTCGTGACTGCAAGGATCCATACTCTTTGGTTTTATCGGTAAAGTCACGTAGGTTAAAAGAAAATGAAAACAAATAAATCACGACGTTTTGGAGGCAACACAAGCTTCCGTCTTCAGGTGGAACCGTCACTTGACACAGTAATTTTGCTGTGACGGTTCCACCTGAAGACGGAAGCTTGTGTTGCCTCCAAAACGTCCTGATTTAATTGATTTGTTTTCTTTTAACCTACTTGACTTTACCGAAAAAAAATAAGAGTATAAATAGCTTAATTTTAGAGTTTAGTTGAAGAGAGCTTACAGGAAATAACGATAGTCCACGATGGCGCCTGTTTAATCGTATGCCAACAGGGCCCACAACACGATCACACCAGGTTACAACTCAGCCGACTGATAGAGCCACCTCGCCATCTCTCAGCGCCTCCGATGCGGCTCTGCAAGTTAAAATTCACGTGCCCAGCATGTGTGTTCCCGTTGGAAGCGGAGCAGCCTAACGTACAGCCCGTCTGCTCAAAGCCTATGGCGACCCAGTGTCACCCATGCCGCTATTATACAATCCGAGTCACATCTACGTTGCACCTACGCCATCCCCACACACTCATAACTAGAGGGCACGATCATATTAACGATTTGTCACGAACATAACCACACCTATTACACTTACATAGCATCGAAATCTTATTCACATGGCAAAACGTGCATACACAGAGACACACACAATACACATATCACACAGATATATACAAATATTATCTGTATATCCGTGTAGAATCTTGGGGCAATTTCTGTTAATGAACACTGATTAAGCACATATAAGTAGATACAGGACACATAAACTCTATATACAGTATAATTATGGTTGTAAGTGCTATGCATTATTACATCCAGACTGAAATATGAAGCTATCACATAATTGGTTAATGTTTTGGTCAGTGCTGGAATTAGTCAGAGTTAGAGGCAGTACAGTATTACGGTTCAGACTTTGTGTTAAATGCCTTGCGCTATTGTTAGGGCCAGTGCTCGTGTGAGAGGGCTAGTGTCAGGAGTGTCAGTGTCATTGCTAGCTCTAAGGTAGATCTAGTCTTCTTGGTTCTTTCGGTAAAGTCACGTAGAAGGGAATAAAATAATAAAAATAAAACATAATAAATGACGCTGTCTTCCCGACAAACCTGTTCTTCACCTGAGGACGGCTGCTTGCGTTGTGGCCGAAACGTCCGTGAGAATTATTGTAGTATGTTTTATTTTTATTATTTTATTACTTCCCTTCTACGTGACTTTACCTAAAGAACCAAGAATATGAATCCCTGCAGTCACGGAAGCTTTAAATCGAGGTAGATCTAGTGTTCGGGTCAACGTCGGGAGTCGAGTCAGTCAACGTTTTATAGACCGGTGATATCTCGCCCTCCTCACCTCATACTCCTGTGAGAAGAGCATGTTGTCATTGGCCTTCAGTCGCTCCACGTGACCCGCAAATTCTGACACTGGGATAGGCGGATGCATCTCCATGCCTGGCACAGGGCCCCAGCAGAAGAGAAAAATACTCCATTCATGCGAATGCTCTTCTAAAATCTGTACACGAATCTCTTTATATCTATATACATACATACGTAAAAAGCCTAAATGCCAGTCAATTACAAGCATCAATTTTGACAGGGAATTCAAATCTACGGAGATATACATGCACGTCATCGCATTCGCTGCTTGTTGCAGAGGTTCACAGTTTGAATCCAGCGGCTGTCCTGCTTGTTAGTGGTTGTAATCATCATAATCATACCCACAATGTAGTTCGCAAGAGTCGGCCATTGCTGAGGCCGGCATCAGGGTCCAAAAATCACCTGCAAATTATTCATGTGCAAACTTAACATTCATTGCCCCCGACTGGCAGATTTATGGTCAAGGTAACTCTTGCAAAAATACTACCCTGGTCTTTGAGTTCTCACCTGGTTAAACAAGTGAAACTTGAAATAAAAATAGGACATCATTCACCATTGATGTTGATTGCAAATCGAAATCAGGTGACCGGGTTTGTAGGGACAGTGTCAAACTCTGTTCTAGCACACATCCCCCTGCCACCAAATCATAAACCTTCAACTATATGCAAAAAAGGGGCATCTTGCTACGTGCAAAAGGGCTCTTCATCTTACTCTGAACTATTAGTTTGCCTGTAAATGGATGTGGATATATATTGCGAATAGCATGAATCTACATCCAGATTAATCAAATTCAAATCTGTAGACATGAATATAATTAACCCATCAGCACCAACATTCAGGAGGTGGAGAAGCGAAACTCAGAACAATGAGAGGTGCATCGTGTTAATAAAACGCAAGTGAGTTGGCATAGTAGGATGTGCAAGTAGTACATCTGCTAGTCACTTAGGTCAGCCAACCCATGATACTACGGTCTATCCTGTAACCAGCTCGCAATCCTCTGCCACTCCACAAGAACTCACAGTTGCCCTACGGTGTCACAGGCGCCGTGTTATCATCACTACCTCTTAGTGGTGTGTGGCGCCTAGTACGTTTGTACATATGTACTCGTACACAAGTATTACGTGTGTGCAATTATAATCACGTGTGTAAATGCGTGTACTGTACCGGGGGTCTGGTGGTTAAGCCGACGCATTTGAACTGGGTCGGCACTGCCGCTGTGCCCTGTGTCTTTGCTGGGTGCCGGGAGGCAGCCCTTAACCTCAGCCTCCCGCTTAGACCTGGAACAAGTCACACATCGTCATCTTAGTATCCCTAGATTATATAAGCAGTGCCACATTAAATGCAATTGAATTGCTCGTCTGCATAAGCAATGGGATCAATAATAATTTTTATTGCTCGGCTGCATAACCCATTAATTGGTGTGCTTACAGTTGAAGTTATAGTCTTGCAAATCAAATTACAATAGATGTAAAAAAAAACTGATGAATAACACTGGATTGCTACTGTAGATACTGTGTAAAGGTAGTTACATTGATAGCCAAGATAAGCATTCTTCAAGTGTAGTTCGAACCAATAGACCAAACAAGGGGGCTATACATTTCTCGTTGCGTATGTTGGTTAGAGTGGAAAAGTGGACGTTGAACTGCAAGTGACATGACCACTGAGTTGGTAGAAAAGACAACGGAATGTTTTACATAGCTGAATCTTTCTAGACGTTAGAGAGGTAAGCGGTGCTGCCTAAATTAATAAGCGAATGATATGGCTTAAATTGGACCGGTGTAAGAAATATTTAAAATAAATGTGAGACTCCAGTAAGTGAGCTGCATGCTAGAACATAAATGGCAGTTGAGTTGCTTGATCAAATCCAGCGATGCAACGACCACATTTCTAGAGCCAGAGAAGCAGTGTGTTGATATAACTGCATTGATAGATCAGGTAGGGAAGTGGTACATTTGATGACAGTTGAATTTTCAAAGTAGATAGATGTGAAGAGGTTGTTACCTGTCTGGCTTGCTGAAAGCAAAGAAAGACATAGACGCATAGTCAGACAGAACTGCTTGCTATGGTGATGATTGTGCAAATGTGGGTGATGGTGATTTCCATATACAGGGAGAAAATACAATTGGAGATGCTGTTGGTGATGATAGTGGTGCTAATAATTAAGATAGGAATTAAGCGATAACGCTGACTATGGTGATGATCATTTTGATGACGGTGATGATCAAAATGAGGTTGATGGTGATTATAACAATGGTGTTGTGACGAGGAATGATAAGAGTGATAATGGTGGTGGTGATATTGATGTCACCTCCTGTAAGGATAATGGCGATGTCAATTCTGACGGTGATAGGGGTGATGCTGTCACTGATAATGGTGAGGGTGTGATCATGATCATGGTGTTGACCAGCAATGATTGATGGTGGTGGTAGTATGTTTAATACAATAACGGTCATGTCACCTCTTGTAGAGAAGGATGGCGATAACGATGACAATTATGATGATGGTCGCTAGCACGGGTCCCACCACCCATACAAGTCCCTCGTCCTCGCCAATCACAGGCTGTGCCTCCAGAAGAACAGGTGGGGAGCACGGGCTGCTCACATACACGCTCTGTACACACACACACACACGTACAAATGCAGAAATATACTTAAGAGTATAAAACATATACTTCAATTCATATATATATATGCCCCGACAATAATTTACCAAGATGTAAAAGTATACCAAATGTATGAATAAATTAACAGACATCGAAATTATGGCAAAATATGCTCCCGACATCGTGATGTGAGAGACAAATGCAAAGGTATGTAACAATAACAGACGTAAGGTGATTGGTTAAATTGGTATTGTGAGTGAGGAACGAAATGTCTCCTAGAGATCGCAGCCAGCAAAGAGATGTAGCTCATGGACCCTTTTTCAAAAAGAATGGACCATAAGAAATGGACATGGGAGGAGCCCAAATAAAGAAATCTGAAATGTAATTGACTTGATTTTCAAGGATAAACCCCAGAGAGTCAGAGGTGTTTCCATCTTCAACAATATTTAACAGAGGAAGTGAGGGACAAGGAACACTTCAACACTGTGAACAAGAAGAGTAAAACTAATTACAGGAAAAAAAACAAGCTCGTTAATGTAGAAAATCTAGTTCAGGCGGTATTAGAGTTTAAACTGATTAATCAACAGATTGCCATCCCTCAAGAAGCAAAACTATTCAATGGATGTAACACCGTTGAATTAATGAAATTACTAATATTGTACTGGGCTGTGTATTGAATGTGGTGGGCAAAGTAAAGAGAAAACAGGCAATCTGCAACTATGAAAAGCATGTTTTGAAAAAGAAAAGTATAAAATGCCAAACAAAACAGTGGATACACAGAGTCATGTAAAACCATGAGGAAAATAAATTAGAGCATCCAACAACAAACATGATTGAACATGCCATGAAGAGTAGTGGGAGCATGAACGCAGCCAAGAGGTTGATGTTTGGAAGATCACAAAGAGGAGCCCCCTTAGAGAGCAATACAGAACAATAATGCACAGAGACAGAACCATAAAACAATTGAGACAGCAAGCACATTCACTCACTTGTGCTTAACGCAGACTTGATTCCTTGCAAAAGGTATATATTGGGTGTTTGAACATCTTAACACCTGTTCTATTGCCAGAAAGGGTAAAACCTATTTTTAATAATCACACCAGCCAGCTTTGCCACTAAACGACGTTGTTCTCAATCTAGTCACAACCCTTGTGACAGGCTATGTGCAATGTGAGGCCACGTGAATCACACAGTCACAGTCTCACACAGACTGCTGGGGCATGACCTGTTAGCAAACACCTATAAAGGCCAAATGGCACATGAGGGGATGTTGTGGCTCAAACCATGCCCAGCCTCCTCTGTCGTCCTAGTGGTGATGTTTAGACACTGCACTAGATACTCACAAAGCTGTGTCAAACTCGGGGAGGCCCAGGACTGGTTCAGATATTTGTCACCCATATTGGCTGTGAGCAGGATTTGAACTCGGGTTGCCGGGTTCATAATGCAGCATGCTAACGACTCCACTACCGCTCCCTACATGCCAAAGGTCCCCTATTTTATCTTTAACTGACTGTTGGGACAAGTGCTACTAGCGAGCACCTATGAAGGCCGGCATAACACATGAGGGGGTGGGTGGCCAACATCACGCCCGGCGGCCCTTGTTTCCCTTGTGGCCATGTTTACACACTACTTCAGGTACTCATTTGAGGCTGAGTCGACCTAGGGGAGGCCCAAGACCAGATAATCATCACTGGTGTTGGCCATGAACGGGCATTGAACCAGTGCGCCACCACTCCATTTCCAGAGTACACACGCGTTGACGCGCGCGCATGCTTGCATGGACATGCGCGTGTGTATGTACGTTGAACTTATTTTGCACCGAAAAAGCCGAGCGTGCTGTTCGGAGGTGCGGGGGAAGGACAACAAACTGAATACAAAAAGCAGTTCTAAAGAGACAAGTTTCCAATCCAGTGCGCTTCCTAATATGGGAAGGGCGTGTGTACACACCGCCTGCTGTGCAGGTGCGTGCAGCAGGGCCAGCACGCACACTCGGTAAGCGAGCCCTGGCTGCAGGCGCCGACTGTGCCCGTCTCCAATCGGGAACGTGGGCGGGAGATGCTCCAACCGCGCCACCACAAATGGCCGCTCGAGGCGTTCCATGTGCGCCGCCACGAACAGGTGCTCGCTGGCGCGCAGAGACATCCGCTGCTGCCGCGTGAGGTGCAGGCTGGTGGCCTCCATGTCCAGGATCTAAGGCGTGCACGAGCACATGTTAAACGTAGAGCACACACGTGTATATCCGTAGAGATATAAAAACACACGTATAGGTGAATAGGCAGGCAAACGTATAAAGTAGATGCACAGTATACTGTACATACATGAATGTACAGACATAGACATATTACTAGTGTCCATTAAATAAACCCATTGAGACACGTGAAACACTGCCTCTTTTTCAAAATGATAACCTGGGTCACATCAATTCATTTTAAGTACACAACGATGTACTACTGCACGAAAGAGATACACAATAAAAAAGTGTAATGAATGAAGGTTAAACTTTTATAAATGTTCAACTATGAGTGTCTAGTGTGAGTTCCCTTCACATAATGCATTCCATTTCTATAATCCCTTCAGATATCATTAAATAATTTTCCCCTGAAAATTTTGGCTGGAGCTCGTAGATCAACACATGTATGCCATGCACAAACCTAGCACTAGATGGCAGACATATCACATAATTAGCAAATGGGCTCCTTTACGTAAATGCAGGGTGTAGGGGCAAGTGGAATACGTTTTGGCTGCATCGTGGAAATGTTAAAAACTTGGTGGAGAAAGTTGCAGTCAGGACGGGAACATGTTTGTGATGACAATAGCAGTTGTGGGCCTGCAAACCATTACATTTTACTGATGTTAAGCGGTTGATTTTTCATAGAGGTAACCATTTGTAGGAAATGGCATAGACTGATGAGCATTAGAAGTGGTGTTTCAGCATGGTAATGCACACCTACACACTGCATATGCAACAATGGACTTGTTTCGAAAGCTTGAATGGGATATTCCGTAAGATCCGACTTACAGCCCAGACTGATTCCCTTATGAAATCTATCTGCTCTGACCTGTGAAAGAAGCTCTATATGGTAGGTCCTCCAACAGTAATGATTTTTTTCCGTATACGTGAAGGGCCAATTGCATTGCCGTCTACGACAGATGCCAGATAAGAGAGCGCTCCGTATGGTAAAGTGCCAAATAACAGAACTTTTGCTGTACATGTATACACACGGGACACAAATGCATAACAAACAACAATCTTAGTTAATCACACAGCTGTTATCAGTGGTGTCCGCTTCATGTTTCTACCAGGGCAATTACGACTCCCCTGACAGACACCCAGAACTTGAACAAAGGATCTCAGCAGTGCCATCTGTCTCTAACACGACCACGATGAGCCAATAGAGCACTCAGACAATGGAGTAGAAAATAAAGCGGCTTCACCTCTTCAAAGTCCATGTTGTTTGGGGAAACCCAGGCAATGGGCTGCTCTTCCAGGTTGTAAAGAGGCACCACCACAATGAGGTACATGCTGCACACAAGACAAGACAAAGATCCCCCATATAGCCTTAACAGACTTTTGTGGCAAGTGCTGTTAGCGAGTACCTATGAAGGCAGGCACGGCGCACGAGGGGGTAGGTGGCCAGCACCATGCCTGACCGCATTTGCCTCCCCAGTGGCGATGTTACACACTGCACCAGGTACTCATTTGTCCTTGATAAATAGGTGTGAGGCCATTAAGACAAAAGTTTATATTGGAACAGATACCTATACAAAACGACGAAACTATTTTTATTTTTAGATTTAAAGCTTTCGTGACTGCAGGGATTCATCTTCTTGGTTCTTTCGGTAAAGTCACGTAGAAGGAAAATAATAAAAATAAAACATAATAAAATAATAAAAATAAAACATAATAAAATAATGAAAATAAAACATAATAAAATAATATAATATTTTACCAGGTAAGGCCCTCTGAGCTATTTTGCTCTTTTTCAGAAGCGACCTAGCCACGAATGAAAGCTCAACAAAGCGGTTTATCATGTGGAAATTTCTATCACGCATATAAACATTTTAATCAAACTTTACATGCACATTGCTTTAATTGGTCTAAAAGAATACAGTCCAAACTCCCCCAGGGTATCCAGACACAGAGAACAATACCTTCATATTCTTTGGGTCTTTTGGTAAAGTCACGTAGATAGGTTCAAAGAAAATAACAAAAAACTACGACGTTTCGATCGCAACACAAGCGGTCGTCATCAGGAAAAGGGGGTTAGCCTCTAAAGGCAAACTGTTTATAAAGGTTTAAAATGGGCGTAGCCCAAGTGTCAGCAGCATGGGCGGGGCAGCTAATGTTAATGTAAGTGATGGTCCACGCCGGCGCTCGTGGTGGGTTTCCACCAATTAAAGGGCTGCCAGGCCAAAAATGAGCATGTAAATGTAAGATCGGAGAGCGGCAGAGGTTGCAATCGGGTACCCGATACCCGCACCCTACCCGATACCCGGCCGGGTACGGGTAGCCGGGTATCGGGTAGGGTACGGGTACCCGTGTGCGACCCTGGTGCGGCCGGGTACGGGTAAGGAATCAAAACCCGTTTGCGACCTCTGGAGAGTGGCCTCCTCCACGGCAAGCGCGCTGAGGTGGCTATGTTAATGTTTAGAGATTAGCATGTTAATGTAAGATCACAGAGCCGCCACCATCTCTGGGTCGGCGCGCGAAAATGGTTGTTAGTGTGAGTAATTTAACCTGTTAATATAAAAGCGGAGAGCCGAAAATAACATCGGAAGGTGGTAGGATGGGAACATCACAGCCAGTTATGACTTAGACTGGTAGATAACGCCCTTCCAATGATTGCTAAGTTTGTACCCATCTTCTCGGTTAAAATTGTGTTTATGTCTGTATATATGGATGGCGTTATGAACGAATCTTTGTTGATTGCCTTACTGGTTAACAAAGGAACAGATAAACCATCAGTTAAAGATGATGCACAGAATTATGTAAAAATATATATTGACTGTAGGGCTGCATTATGGGAAGGGGCTGGTTACAAACATCCGAATGCATGACCCTCCTGAGTCTCAAGACTCGACGATGCTTTGCTGGGTAAATTAATGATGTGATATGATACAGGGAGCAGCAGAGTAATGCCATCTTTAAACTAAGCCTGGTGTGCTAAGAAAGTTGGCTATTAGGTGAAATAATTCACCGAAATATTTGTATTTTGTTGCATTTCTGCAATAGCTTTAGAAAAACTTGGTATCCCTGCAAACTTTTTCCAGATATACAAAGTGTTTATCTCTAATAGAATGCAGCCCACATCATATTCACGCAGACTACGAAAAAATAAAGATAATGTTGTTACATGTTAGCACCACCTACACCAAGCTCACTAAATAAAGAGCAAGTTCACTGGTATAGTTTAATAATTACTATTTTGGTGTTGGGAAGTGTAAATGATGTGTCTTGACTCTGCAAGCACTAGTACCTCCACCTGTATGTATGTTTAACTTCTTTCGCACCGCACACTGCCAACTGTGCTAATCGGTGGTGCGGGGGGCTAATCTGAGGTGCGGGGAAATAATTGTGGTTATCTAACTACCACGGGAGGAGGTAGTGAAAACATCTGGTTTGAAAATGGTTGTCATTCAGCTGTTGAACGGTGACTCAAGTGGATTAATCTATTTAATTAATAAATATATTATTCAATGCATTTCCACCACTCACTCACACACACCGCCTGAAACATACAAGTCACCACTTGCTTCAAAGTGATGGTGATGTCACCACAGCGCTATACTGTGCGCCCTTTAAGGCAATGTGGACTCAAATACAACACTCTTTCATGCACATATCTTGTCTCACACACAAAGACAAAGAACCCCCTACCACGATAGCCTTGACAGACTATTAGGGCAGGTTCTGTTAGCCAGCACCTATGATGGCCGACACGGTACACAAGGGAGTGGGTGGTCAGGCACCACGCCCGACCACCTTTGTCTCCCCAGTGACAATGTTTACACACCACACCAAGTACTCATTTGAGGCTGAGACGACCTAGGGGAAGCCCAGGACCGGTTCAGAAAATAGTCATTAGAGTTGGCCATGAGTGGGAATCGAACTTGGGTCACTGGTTTTATAGCGCAGCGGTTAGTACGCTGCGCTTCGAACCCGGTGACCCGCACTCACACACACACACAACAACAACCGCCATTCGCCACTAAGTGGCGGTAACGTCACCACGGCGCTTGTGCGAGATTATGTGCACGTTAAGGCGACGTGAAGTGTTGAACGCCCGCTGGCAGGTCACGCGGCTGACCCAGGTGCCATGGGTCGACTGAGATGACTGGCGGATGCACCAATTGTGCCCCCTACTGCGTCAGTAGGGGGCACACACACTCACGCTGTCATATACATCGGAGCTCCCTCACACATTATCTCTCTCACACACACTCTTACATTTACACATACACAGCTTATTCACACATTCTCTCACACACACGTAAAAAGACAGACTTCTAGGGCAAGTGCTGTTTGCGAGCACATTTGTAGCCCGGAGCGGCACACGAGGGGGTAGGTGGCCAGCACCACGCACGGCCGCCTTTGTCTCTCCAGTGGTGCTGTTTTCACCCCGCACCAGGTATATATTTGAGGCTGAGTCGACACAGGGAAGGCCCAGGACAGGTTCAGATAATATCATCGTCTCTCACAACAACAACCGCCATTCGCCACTAAGTGGCGGTGACGTCACCACGACGCTTGTGCCAGGCCACACACACACACATACACAGCTATCTCCAGCCCTCATGGCCCGCACTCACTGACCGGACCCTGAGGTCTCCCAGCAGCTGTGGCAGGGGCACAAGGGTGGGCTCGAGTCCGTGTTCCCTCATATCCCCATCCGCGTCTCCTCCCGTTTCTCCAATTAGCTCCCCAGGCTCAGACCAATGTACTTGGGGCACCGTGCGAACACTCACCACCTGCACACACAAACAAAGACAAAGACCCCCGATAAAGCCTCTAATGGACTGTTCGGGAAAGCGGTCACCTATGAGGCCCAGCATGGCACATGCAGGGGTGGGTGTTCAACACCACGCTTGGCCGCCTTTGTCTCCCCAGTGCAGATATTTTTCAAATTGAGTCGACCACTGATTTTGGTTGTGAGCAAGAATCAATCTCGGGTGGCTGGGTTCGTAGTGCAGTATGCTAAATACTACACTACTGCTCCCTACCTGCACACACATGCAAAATGTGTCCTGTTTAGCACAATATGTGCGTGGGGGTTATGCTGCTGTTGAGTAGCTGTTAAGGCTGGGACAGCATACAATGGGGTTATGACCTTGAGGAGGTCTAGAACATGTTTAGATACCATCCTGATTTGAAGCTTTCGTGACTGCAGGAATCCATACTCTTTGGTTATTTCGGTAACGTCACGTAGGTATAAAAATAAAATAAAACAAATCACGACGTTTCAATCGCAACACAAGCAATCTTCATCAGGTGGAACAACCACGGCAAGAAGATGCTAAAGTAGGCGAGAGAGCTGCCGTGGCAAGAGATGATATAGATCAGAGAGGGGGGAGGCACGGGGGGAGAGAGAGAGAGGGGGGGGGGTAAGGGAAGGGGGGGGCTGTGTGAGCGCTAGGGGAAGAGGACGTGAGGCTGGGGGGGCAAGGGGCTAGAAGTGGGAAGCTGAGTGTGGGACACGGGGGGGGGGGATGTACTAGTAAACGGCAGGTAGGAAGGAAACAACCACAACCAGTTAAGGCATTACCTGGTTAATAACATCCTTCCAATGATTGTTCAATTCGTATCTATCTTCTCGGTTGAAGTTATGTCTATGTTTATATATCTGGATGGCTTCATGAACAAACCTTCGATGGTTGCCCGAAGGTTATTAACCAGGTAATGCCTTAACTGGTTGTGGTTGTTTCCATCGTACCTGCCGTTTACTAGAACATTTCACCCCCCCCGTGTTCCACACTCAGCTTCCCACTTCTAGCCCCGCACACTTCCCCCCCCAGCCTCACGTCCTCTCCCCCTAGCGCTCACGCAGCCCCCCTCTTCCCTTACCCCCCCCCTCTCTCCCCCCTTGCCTCCCCCTCTCTGACCTATATAACCTCTTGCCACGGCAGCTCTCTCGCCTACTTCAGCGTTTTCTTGCCGTGGTTGTTCCACCTGATAAAGATTGCTTGTGTTGCGATCGAAACGTTGTGATTTGTTTTATTTTATTTCTACCTACGTGACTTTACCGAAAGAACCAAAGAGTATGTTTAGATACAGCTTGGCACTGATGTCATGTTACCAGTGGCAAGCAGTATCTGAACAACAACTGTGCCACTGCTCCCATATGCATATATACATACACACCATTACTGTAAAGATGACAGATTTAGCCACAAGACCACCTCACACACCGAGCTGACCTTAGTATGCTAACAGCACATTATATATGGCTAAATGGGAATTATTTCTAGCTTACAACGGTATGTGTGTTTTGGGTCTCTTTCCCCATTCTTCTCTTATCCCTCTCTATTTCGCTTCTATTTTCCTCCCTCCTCTCTCCTCCTACCCTCTTCCTCTTTCTCTCTTCTGCCTTTTTATCTCCCCCCCCTCCCCCCCGACGGTACCTGCAGGAGGCCCCCATTGGGACCTGCGTTGAGCATGAATGAGTAGAGTGAATCAGCCTCCAGCCCGACTACGAGCTGGTGGCTCTTCATTGCATCCACTTCCATGTTGTGGCCACCCCTGTACACGATCTACACACATACACATGTGGAGGGCAGAGGTGGGGGCAGATAAAGGCAAAGGTCACACAAGACTCAGGGCTCTTCTGTTGAGACAGCCACGCTCCTGTGAAAGTAAATACCCTGCCACCGTCGGCATTAACACTGCCCTGAAAACCGGCTGGGTGGCACTGTCTTCAAAGTAAAATACTCAATTCACAATCATAAGCTGACGTATTTGTCAAATTTCAGTCGGGGGTAGACTCGGCCCATCGTGTTTATCATCACTGCCATCGTCATTTTTAATCAAGACGGGAAGTTAGGCACCTTTTGTCTGCGCCTACTGACCACTCCTGGCCTTCACATGGGTCGAGGTGGCTTGTGTGCTGAGAATGTGCAGCTGTACCACCCTGACTCTCCATAATAATTGCCTATACCTCACTGCGACACCTGATGTTTACTTTTTATAAATGTTCTAAAATCACCTGACTTAAATGGCCATGCTGCCCCCTGACTAGGCGCGCCACGATGTATCATTTAATCCGTGAATTTGATTCGCATACGTTCATGATGCATGCATAAAATCGTACATGCAATTACTCAATTGCTTACTATGCAAATTGCATGCTGATACATTAGGCTAATAAAACAGACACAAGTCACAAACAAATAAGAAACAATATCCAGTACACGAGATGGTAAAAGCAATCACAAATACATTATGTAACTGAATCACAACTCTAAATGTTGACGATTAATCGAATTGCAGGGTGCTGACTCGTTACATACATAGCCCTGACTCTTGCCTGACCTCCTCTCCCTGTCCCTGCTCCTTATCGCTGCTGCTGCTGCTGCTACTGCCACCCGTCATCTGTCTTTGGCCTCTCCTGTCCTTGGTTCCCCCAAGGCTCATTGGTGCTGGGCCCTGGCACCCAGGACCCCCCTGAGACTCATCGGTGCTGAGCCATGGCAACCTGCAGCACCTCTGAGTCTTCCCTGAATTGTATTGATGTTGTCTTCAGACATTGTTACATTTGGACACAATATTCAAATGATTACATCGTTGTCCGTCAAGTGTTTTTAAAATAACTAACAACATTGTATGTGCCACCTAGAGAGAGACTGGCTCCTGTCATCGAAATGTAGAATTTTCACCACTGGATCAGGGCTGTAAACAGAGAGAAACACAGAACTTCTTTTTTAAGCAGGGCTTCAATTTAAATATATTATGTTGTAAGGCACTGATAATGCAGACACAGTAAAGTATTTTGTCGACTGTGATGCTACACTCATAATACGGTGATAAGTTGTTTAGTGTGGTGTGTCGTATAGTGTTAAAATGAAGTGCAGTGTTCGATGCAAATATGTAGTACTAGCGGGAAGTACCCGGCGTTGCCCGGGCGAAAAGAGATTTCAAAACTCCTCTTAAAAAAATAACATATACATACACAAATATAGAAAAGTGTAATGTAAGTAAAAAGTATGTGTGTATGAATTTTACGTAGTTTAGGAGAATACAATATAAACTGTAATACTAAATAAGGAATGGAACTGTGAACCCAAAAGATGGAGCACATAATAAAGCAGTGTGGTCTCCGTCTCTTCAATGGAGGAATAACAGGCCCGCATGAGCTCTCTCCAGAAGCCGTTTTGGTGGCAGCAGACCTCAACATTGACATTTAGCTCCCCAAAAGTGGCATAGGCAAGAAGACAAACAGAAACATTTATTTAATAGTAGTAAACATTTATTTAGTGCCTTTTTTTCAGCTTCCAGTTTAATTTATTAGGTACATATATAGGTCTGTGAGCCGTGCAGCTCTTGACTGGGGTGCAACAGCAACAGACAAAAACATGAGAAGAGAACATATAAAAGTGACGACGCACCACAGAAACATCCAGGAAAAGCCATCAAAATCTTCCAGAAAAAAACAGCGTATATCAACGCTGCGTGCAAAAATCGCAGTGGGATGCAATTAAAAGAATAACAACCATAAGACAATTGAGATGAAAGTTACGAGGCTAACTGTGTACTTGAATAAACAAAAATGGCTTAAGCATACGTTTTAGAAATCAGCAAAAGAAAGCTAGAGATAGATTGTAACAGTGTGCATAGGAACTGCAATTCAAATTTAAGAGCAAACGATATAAATAACGTGTACGACCATACTTTGCTGACATAGCTGGCAGCATGAGTCACTCCATAACAGCAGGAGTATCAGCAGGAGTATCTAAATTTTCCAATGCACCTTTAAAGATCAGCACACTATAATCAAAACTAAAGGTCATACTTTATTGGTATGATATGCCTTTGTCTTTTATTGAATGCGATGAGTCATACGTATGTAATGCGGGCGTAAATGGGCGGGGCGGATATGACGATCCGAGAGGGAGGAGTCAGGGTGACGTGGGGGAGAAGTTATAGCGGGGAGACAGGAAGCTATCTGGGTCAGTCGGGGGAGTGAAGGGTGGTGAACACGTTGGGTGGTCGCCGTGCCTCAGCCTGGTGGCTGAGGGGCTCATGACGGCGCCAGCCAGCGGGGTGGAAGAGAGAGTGGAGGATTGAGGTTGGAGATGGCGAGATAGCCACAGAGGCCACGAAGGGCTGAGGTAGGAAGTGGCGAGATAGCCACAGAGGCCACGAAGGGCTGAGGTAGGAAGTGGCGAGATAGCCACAGAGGCCACGAAGGGCTGAGGTAGGAAATGGCGAGATAGCCATAGAGGCCACGGAGGGCTGACGTTGGGAGGTGGCGAGATCGCCACGCACGGAGGAACAGGGAGCAGCGATGGAGCTGCTGTGGGAGCAGCCAGAGGGCTGCACCAAGAGCCTGCAGCGGAACTGCAGGAGCGTGGAAGGCTACGGGAGCGAAGGCAGATGTGGGGCTGCCAGGGAGAGAGTCTCAGGAGGAGTGCCGTGTGGGAAGGAGAACGCGAACCCCAAATAAAGGACACGGAGTCAGCGAGAAGCGTCTGAGTCCTTTTATTACACTGGAGTCAGAAGTGAAACGGCATCTCAAAACAACTGAGAGAAAGAAAAAAAAAAAAGAATATTCCTGCTACATCATCCGACGACGACGACCTTCCTCAGACGGTGGACCTGCCTGCGATGGAAGAGGAGATCCGTTCTGGAACGAGTACGGGTCCGGGTGAGCAAGGTGTCGCCGCGTCGGTGGACCTGTCAGCCGGAGGACGCCAACTTACGATGGAGACAGATGGCGATGCAGATGGGGACCTTGAAAATCGTGCTGGCGCAACTGTGTGATTTCACCACGCCGAGGACGACGACGGGGAGGCCCGGTGGTGATCGGCAGGCCTATGCCTTTCCTGCGCTGCCAGCGCCATTGCCACGTGGCACGAAGACGCCATCTTGGGCGTGGCAGGGGAAAAACGGCGGGAAGCCGCCATCTTGTCTTCACCGCGGCGGGAGGACGCCGCCATCTTCAACATCGCGGCGGAGAGGCAGCCTTGCGCTGCCATCTGGAGGTGCCGCGGGGTGAGCAGCCTGCTGTGAGCTGCTGTTTTTCGAGGGGGTGCTGCGAGGAGAAGACGCCGATGCTGCAGCTGCTGGGGCGGGAGCTTCCCGTCCTGGCTCGGGTGCGTGACAACGGAGCCAGTCAAGTCGCCGAACGAGTTCTGCGAGGCGTCTCAAGTTGCCACCCTGCCGTCCTCTTCTTGCTGCAGCCCCGGGCGAGTCATAACGATACGCACCCGGCCTTAACACACACCTCACTCATCTTTCGAGGGCCGGGGGGGCTATTTTGGTTTTCTCTTATGACTCGATTGTGCGGAGCGCGGTTCGGACTGTGTGTATGTGTGTGTAATAACGATGAACGCGCTATCTGCTTGTTGCTTGGTGTCAATATAAGTGTGTGCGTGTGTTGAGAATGGACGGAGAGTCGGCTGTATTTGCTGAGTGTCAAATTGTGTGTGTGCGCTGCTGCGTGGAGTTGTTATCTTGATGGTGAAGTTAATTATTAACTTGGGAGCGTCGGGTATCTTGCGCTGTATTATTTGTGGGTTACCTTGTGCGATGGGCTTAATTGGAAAAAAAAAATATCTTTTTTTTGGTGTATTGTGCTGCGAAGTGCTGTGTGCGATGCGATTGTTGCAAGAGAGAGAATAATTGTGTTGTTGCTGCAAAGTTACGACAGGATTAATGGTGTGTTGGTTGCCTGCAGATCTGCTTGCTATTGTGCTTAAATGTACGCGTGTGATCGCGATATGCTGATTGCATGTGCTGTTATACCGTTCTGTATGGTTATGGGGTGCGATGCAGTGGTTGACTATTGGAATTGAGATTGTTATTATATTGCGCGTACCTGTTGGAAATTGGTAACAAATTCGAGGGGGACCCAAATATTTGGTTGTATGGTTGTTGTGCACACGAGATTGCGTGTATATTATAGGGGTAATTGAGCTTTTTGAGAATGAGGGTGCGCGATGACGCCGTTGTGGGTGGCTTAGATGTTAATGCTAATGGGATCGTAAATGGGCGCCAAGTGGCGTCGCGTATTCGGTTGATCGCATGCAGCCACGAGTTGCTTTGCGAGTTGGGTTGTGTAACCAATGTGGTTGGTAAAATATTGGTTAAAAATTCCCCCATATGACTGCTGCGCGCAGCAAGCTGGGGCTGTGCGTCTATCGTTGTTGGGGTTGTTACAATAAGACGGGGGATGCATTTTGTGACCCCCAGCATAGGGAAGCTGGGGTGCACGAATGGAGAAAACTGGCCACGTGTTCGCACGTTGGGCCGCCATTTTGCGCGCACGCGGGGTATGGCGACGATGCGCTTTGCGGAAAGGGCCGCCATTTTGAGTGCGCGCGAGAGATTGCGCGAACGCGCTGGGCGAAGGGGGACGCCATTTTGAGCGCGCGGGAAAAACCGGGGTGGGGCAAATATTCCATCTGTTATGCCTGCCATTGTTGATTGGGTGATGCACGAGTTGTGGTCACATCGGCCTATGGCTGATGGCTGACCTGACAGCCCGGAAGCGAAACCTCCGTGGTATGTCTTAAACTAATGGGCCATGTGCTCA